TCGGTTGGTTAGTTTCTTATTTTTCGTATGTGAGGTATTRTGTATGAATCTTTTATTGCAATTTTTTTACAAACATAATAAACCCGAAATTAACACCTAAATACTAAGAAGATGACTGAAACCTGATTCGAACCCGTGCGCAGGATGGGAGAAAAGCCGTCCAAACCAAYTTTGTCAAGACGAACTTAGGTTATCATTGTAGTTTCAAAATATATAGGGTGGCACCTAACGTTATAACATGGTGGCACCTTTTACGACCCTTTTTTTTTTATTTTACGATGAAGGAACGAAGGTATTKCCTATTTCACCCTTCCCTTTGTTGTGGAATGTGATGCATCGGGACGAGGTATCGGAGCGGTTTTGATGCAACAAGGGAAACCATTGCCTATTATAGTAAGGCGTTAAGTGAACGGAATCTGGCCAAATCAGCATTTGTATCWGGTGGCCTGTGCCACCGTATCTTATACACCGGGTCTGCCCCTTCCCACAAAGTCACCCGGTATGTTTTAGCTGAATTCCACGTTTTTTGAGGGAATTTTTAAGTTTTTTTGGTTGATTTTGAGGGATTTTTTTTGGTTGYTGTTTCTTGTATTTTCTAACATCCTGCCTGGGGCTTCGTAGGTCCGCCTCTGTAACTGTATTTTATAGTGAAGTGAACTAATTTTATATAGAATGAAATAGKTGGGAAGATCTGAAATGGATTAAAGTAACAGCACTGCAAGCTTTATTCATGAATAGTTTGTGAGTTATTAGTAATTTAGATACATACCAATGATGTGAAAACTATGGAAAACCTAAAATTTGAAAGTAGAACTTTTTCGGATTTGATAAAAGGACAATTACCCTTTCTTGATAGAAATAACCAAGTCGAGTTGTGAAATACTTGGTGGGTGCGTGTGGTACGCGAACTAGACTGGACTGTACATGATTGGAGATCTGAGAGTGAGGTTTTAGGGTTTTAAGTTGAWATGGGTAGTTTAGTAATTTACCAATCTAGTTTCATTTCCTTAATTTTSGTTCCAACTATTTTAGGGATAGAAAAATGCATTTTTTGTCCCRTTCAGTAATGTSSTGTCTGTTTGTCTGGCTGGCTAGYTGTCCCAGTCTAATGTCATGCCAAACTTAGGGGCCGTTTACCAAACTCTTGCCGGGTAAGTGCTTACCGGGTGTGACTTATCTTATCGGTGAGCATGGCAAAGACGGAGAATGTTATCCGGTAAGAGGTATAACAAGGATCAAGAATCTTATCCGGTAAGAGGTATAGCAAAGACCAAGAATCTTATCTGGTAAGAGGTATAGCAAGGACCAAGACTCTTACCCGGTAAGCGATGGAGAAGACTCTTACCCGGTAAGCGCTTACTGGGTAAAAGATGCTTACCGCAATCCATTTTGATGGTTGAGAATGTTACCCGTTAAGGTGAGGATGATGACTCTTGCCGATAAGCACTTACCTGGTAAGTATTTGGTAAACGGCTTCCATCTGGCTATGAAGTTTCATTGAGAATTGTCCCATCTTTTGAAAGTTCCATGCATAATTTATGCATTTGTAACAAACTACTCATTGCCACTCTTCCCTTTTTACCCCCTTGTAACAGGATACCCAAAATTACTATACTGCCCCTGCATCTCCCTCTTATCTTCTGTTATTACAACATTATTATGACTACTACCCAGCTTACTCCACCCTTTACTCATCTTAGCATTCATGCCTGATAGCAGCCTTAACACAGGGTAAGAGCAGCAAAATGTGTGAATGCTTAAATCCATGTAACTATCTCTATGACAACAAGCCTTTTATCCCAACTAGTTGGGGTGGGCCCAATAAATCATGCAAACATTGAAAAATTAASKGTCCGTTTGGTTTGTAGGATTTGGAATTGAATTCCATTCYAATCCCACATTTGGTTTAAAGGGAAGTTCGAAATTGAAATCCCACAAACATTGAAATTAGTAATCCCACGGGGTAGTTGGTATTTCACAGGATTTGTTTGTAAAATTCATTACTAGTWTTTCAGCCAACAGTTAGCTTATCAGCTAGTTTGCCAAATAGCGATTTAATAACTGCAACTGAAGTGAGCTCTGACAGTTTGTGATGCTGGAATTCCTCTACTGACATATTCAGATTCTTTTTGCAGTGAAATCACACCTGAAGGGCGCCGAATTACAAAGCTTGACCAGATTTTGCTCAACGGGAATAACATAGCAATCGTACGTATCATATACATAGCAGACTCGAGATGAAATTAACATGGCCCATTTTTCGGGTTTGGGGTGCATTTGGTMTGCGGGAGGGGATGAGAGAAAACAAAAACTTGTCCCACGTCTGACATGACATTAAACTGGGACATGATATGACCGAGTGAGACAAAAATGCATATTTTTTGACTCACCAAATAGGTGGAACAACAATGAGGGAGATAGGTCAAGATTGATAAATTACTAAACYACCCATGTCAAATTAAAACCCTAAGATCTTCCAYAGTTCTTTGACCCGCCTACACTAGCCGTCTAGTCCCATCCCGTCCGCGTACCAAATCAGATGCAACATTTTACTCCCTCCGTTCCAAAATAAGTGTCTGCATTTTTATTTTAGTTTGTTTCAAAATAAGCGKCCGTTTTCAAAAGTAAGTGCATATTTTTTTTGAAGTATATAATAWTTATCCAGAGCAAATGAACTCATGCACCCTCTTCACCCTCCTGATAGGCCGGCTCTACCGGTAACCCAGATACTGTTAGGSAAAAGGCTCTTTGGTGTAAGTGTATACCTTCTGATCTACCCTTGATTATGAGATAAAGAAATTCATCACCCACTCTAATATTAAGGRTAAAATTGTCATTTAGTTAATAAAAATGTGTAATTATTACACATTTCTAAAATTACKTGCGTTTTACATTGTGGACATTTATTTTGGAATGGAGAGAATGCAACAAAGTAWTACCGAAACCGACACAAATCAGATGCGACATTTTACTTTTATTTAGTYCAAAATTATTTCGATGTCAGCAGCTGGTGCCTGGTGGTTCCCCGGATCCAGAATGATGTGATATGCTGGCTGCAAATGGGCGCTTAAGGGTCATYCAGACCTCAAACGTCCGTCTTCCACAACTTCAGCTGCCGAGATGGCRTCGATGGATGGATGTAAGTTCTCTRATTGGCGTTTTCGAAGAAGAAATTTCAATTATTTGTTTAGTTTTAGTCAAATTTTYGACTTTTAAGGACCATAGAATGCATTAAAAGTTGTAGATGGATATCGGAACTAGGAATTAAGCTGCAAAATCTCTTAGGCTTATTGCTGAGATCAATTTATGCAAATGCAGCTTCCTACAATTACTTGGGTTTTCTATATAATTGCTTACAGTGACTGAAGGGCTGTTTGGTTGGTTTTTCGTCAAGTCCTTTATGGATAAGCTGTCTGTTTGATTGGAAAGATTTTTGTTTACGAGGATTTTCTTATAGATGGAAGAAACATGTTTTTTAATGGAGAGGGTCAGGTTTTTGGAAAACTTGGCTTTCTACATAAAGCCCCCCTAGAAACTTTTGAATAAACCATTTTTTAAGTCATCAAGTCACATACCAAACGGTCGTGTATAGCTGACCGAATAACTTGCGAGTCCTATTAAACTCATTAAGCTGCTAATAGACGGGTACTTACTTTTGTTCCATTTTCTGTTCTTTGTTTAACGGGAACATCTTTTTTTTTCTTCCCGTGTCTACATTCTTTTATATGCTAGAGTCCCAAATTGGCTAGTCTTGGACCATTTTTGCTCGATATGTGTTGGAACCCCTTCTTTGCTGAAGGCTATTTTGGTGAGTAAYCWAATGGGGTTTCACATATTTTTACATGGTATYGGAGTTAAAAGGTCTACCACTTTAGGGACTCGATAGTTTAGGACATCCTGTACCAGTCTAGCACCMTCGACACTATATGACAATCTGTGCTCGTCCATCATTCGTTGAAGGGGGCGTGTTGGGGTCCYACATCGCCTAGACTTGGACTATTTCTTCTTRATATATGTTGGAACGTTYTTCTCTCAGTGRCTTTTTTGRAGAGAAATCTAATGGGGTTCCAAATATTCTCACATCTTACTTTCTTCTTACACTATAGATGGGACCCACATAACGAAGAGATTTCTGGGTCGTAACAATACAAAACTTGTTGTCTAACGCTTGGTGCCACATCAGATTGGGACAAGACATGACTTGAGTTAGATAAACACATTTCTTTTCCTGTACCAAAATAGGTGGAACAAAAATCAGGGAGATGAAACAAAATTGGTAAATTATAAAATTAAATGTCAAGYTAGAGCCCTAAAACCTTCAAGAATTCTTGCACATGTTTAGGTCACCCTCGCCCGTCTGGTCCTAAAACCAAGATGATATTACAAGACTGGTAAATTACTAAATTAACCTTTACACTAATCACATATTTAGAAATCCAAATCCAGATTTGAAGAGATATGATATTTATTTGGTAAGAGCATATCTCCATGTTGACGTCCTTCTTCACCACCTCTCAAATTTTATTAAAAAAATTCCCTTTTTTTTATTATTTAATATTCTAATAAATATGCTAATTTGTAAGGATCCCATGTGAGAGACTGTGTCTATCTTTATTTTTGCACCTCATTGTGTTTTGTCCTGGAAACATCTTTCAAGATGCAAACCTCTCAACATGCATAAAATAAGTRCAATTTCCTTTCTATAATATTTGTCAATTTTTTTGTTATAACATCTGATGCTATAATTTTTTTATAACTAGAAGGGTACTTGCATAATGCAGCGAGGTACATCTTGATTTTATTGTTTCATTTTATTCCGTGTCTATTGATATAATACAGTTTTATATGGTTTTGAGAAAACGATAATGTTTTTTTATTTTTGATTAAGATGTAAATTTGAAGATATTGTAATTAAAATTTTAAAAAAAGATATCGATATTAGTAGTGATGGCCAAAAACCGGTCCCGGGTCGCCCAGTCCTACCGGGCATGACGAACTCTTTAACCGGCGGTAACCGGTCCCGGTTCCTTGCATTAAAATTTTAATTCAAAATTACCAAAAATTATAATTTTTCTAATTTATCTATTGATTTGTAGTTAATATTGGACCTCACGATTACCACAACTAATTAGTTATCATTTGATTAGATCCAAATAAATAAATAAATAAATAAAAGGGTAAATAACTATAACTCTTGATGTTTATGAATTATTTCAAAATATCCATAAAAAACCATTTTTCATACATATTTTAATTAATATTAATTAATTACAAACACCATAACTACCCCATGATTGTCTTAAAAATAAAACAAAAACACACATTTCCCACACYATTGCCTGGTTGTCCCTCTTGACTTTGACCATCTCCTTTAGATTCATATCAACCAAGTCCCTCATTTGTCTTGTCTAAAATACACTTCATCTATTTCCAYACATATCCGGACGATTATCGTGTGAGAAAAGAAGTTATGGTAAAAAGCGTAAAAAAAGATCTGAACCCTTAATCATTTTTAATCTAAATACCCACTTATTTTAGTATTTRTACTGGTAAGGATGTTCACCTTGTTCATAGACGAACATGACATTGTTCATATTATTTTGGTATTCGTATTGATAATGATGTTCACTTTGTTCATATTGATCAACCATTTACCAAGTGCAGTATGATTTAATCATTATTGACTTGATCATGATCCCTAAAATCAATCAAACAATAAGTTACATCATCYCATTAAATGCTAAAAATGTAAGTTACACCTGTAAACAAATTACCCTTTTGTCCCCCATTCAAYAATGAATATCTTGATAAAATCAACACCAAATAAAGAATTCTATTTGTCAATTAAGTTAACATAGTTAACACTAACAAATTGGTTAATAAAAGAACTTGGCTCTTTCTCTATATAAGGTTGGATTCCAGTGAAAAAGAGAGATAAWGTGAAAAGTGTAAGAAAAGATCTCGACCATATAGAGTTGGGTTCCGATGAGAAGAGAAGTAATAGTGAGAAACTTAAGAAGAGAGCTCCACCCTTGGATCGATCCTAATTGAATGTCAACACTAATAAGGTGTACCGAGATGCATCAGATCAATTTCCTTCTAAAAGTTATGAAATTACCACCTCTATTTTGGCATATCCGCAAATTTTGACTAGTCAAAACCACAATTCTTGACCATTCAAATCTTGACTGTATGAAGGGTAAAATCACTTCTTCCCAAATATTTATTATTTCTCAAAATAACCTATGGCTATGTATATGTGTGTGTGTATTTAAACGCATCGTTACTGCAAGTAAAATCCTTTATATCTGACTGACGTATACCCACCCGACCACCCGTCACCGAATGAATCCATTAGGACCCACACCATTTGACTGCTTCCTGGCCCCATTAATTATATGTATGACGGTTCATATAAGAACGATAAAAAATTGATAACCATAAAAACATGTATATTCATTGATGCATATACATTAATGAATTGCATTGAGTATAGCAATTATGTTTATATACTTGCATGCATGATAGATATGCATTGATGAATACAATTATTGACAAAATWCACATTTTAATGTGCATATGTATTAATGATATAAAGGTTGTTATGGTTCTCAAACTTTTTATAATTATCTAAATTAYCCTCCAAAACTTTCAAATTGAACTTGTCAAAAATAAAAAACAAATAGTATCTCAGTGTTTTTTTCTTCTACCAAAGGGMCTTTAGCCTAGCGGTATCGTAGACTTTGAYCTCTTAGGAGGTCAGGGRTTCAAACCTCACCAAAGGTGARRAAAGTATGCGAGTTTATTTGTTGCATTTGCCGTATATAAATATTATATATTTCAWWAAAAAAAAAACATCTTGTGTTTTTGGATAGAATCTAGTTGATATTTTGAACCAATTATCTATACATCTTAGGRGCTGTTTGGGAATCGCTRAATGGTTTGRTGCAGAATGATTAARTGGTCARAATGATTAAGAGGCACTYATGATATAGTAYAAAWKAAAWWWWAWTKKTTKGKWAWT